ATGTCTTGTTTAGATCTGTGAAGTCTACGCATACACGCCATTTTTCCCCTTTTTCTTCGCGCAAACCGTGTTAGACAGCCATTCTGGGAACTGTATCTCCCGAATGACGTTGGCCTTTAGGAGTTTATCGATTTCTTCGTTGATCGCGCGGGCGTGATGCGGGGCCATGCGTCGTAGCTTCTATTTTACTGGCTTGTGCACCGGGTCAACATGCAGCTTGTGTGTGATTATTTCGGGGTCCACTCCCATCATTTCCATTGCGTTCCAAGCGAACACGTCTGTATTTCTCCTCAGGAACTCAATCATCTCCTCATGTTCGACTGCGGGCATCGCGGTTCCAACTAAGAAGTATCTTTTTTCTTCTCCCTCCACCAAGGGCACCTTTCGGAGGTCCTCCATCGACCGTTCCGTTGGGTCAATCCGGGGGTCATCCATTCCTGGACGCCCGGACTGTGATTGCTATTTTTCCATGATCTTTTTCGGAGCTCGCCCCTTTTCTTGGGTGAAAGCTCCTGCTCTAACAGCTGAATAAAAATAATTTTTTGCGGACACTTGGTCCCCTCGGATCTCCATGATCCCCTCTGGCGTAGCGAACTTCAGTTTCTGGTGATAAGTGGAGTGCATCGCTCCCAACGCATGCAACCATGCTCATCTCATGATCACATTGTAGGGAGAGTCCGTATCAATCACGATAAACTCGGTGTTGATGGTGAAGAGACTTGTGACAACTGACAATGTGATTTTGTCTATGGGCAAGGCGAACGAGCCGTTGAATTCGATGAGGGGTGTCCTGACCTTGGTGAGGTCTTTGAGGCCAAGACCCATCCATTTTAAAGTGTCAGAGTACATCAACTCTGAGGAACTTCCGGAGTCTATCAACACCTTCTTGACGTCGAACTTACCTATCTTCAGGGTTATGACAAGGGCGTCGTTATGAGGAGTCACCACGCCTGTCAAGTCCGCGTCGGAGAACGTGATGCTAGGCTCGCCAATCTTGGCCCTTTTACTGGGCGACCCCCCATCATCCTCGGCTATCTTCCTTGTAAAAGCTACCCTCTTGAGATTGGACTCGAGTTCCTTGGACATGGGGCAATCTAGCGGACATACATGGATGACATCTATGACATTGTCTGGCTCCTCGGTCGGGGCAGGGGTGTGTCTCTCTTCCGGCCTGAGCTCTATGTATTCTTTTAAGTATCCGTCTCGGACCAATCTTTCCAAGAAAGATTTGTATACCTTGTAACTTTCGATGCGATGTCCAAAATCCCAGTGATAGGAACACCTAACCTTTTGATCACGGGTGGAGAGATCGCTCTGCATCCTGAGCGGCCACTTGAAGAATGACTCTTGTTTGATCTTATGGAGCAACTTGAAGATGGGTTCCTTGAACATAGTGTGAACTCCTTTGAACGACCCCCCGAAGGGGGTAGCAGTCCCTTTCGGGGAATATCCTTCCGCTCCCTCTCTTTTCTCTTAGGTTGGAGGGTTCTGTTTTTGCTGCTTCCCATCTCGGCCTCGATCCTAGAATACTTGTTTATCCGGGCCATCAGCTCGCCCATATTCGAGGGAGTCTTTTTGGTCAGGGATCGGTACAGGTCCGTGTCCCTTGCCAAGCCGAGCCTGAAAGACGCTGCTGCCATGACTTCCGAGCAGCCCTCTACCTCATTAACCTTTTCCAAGTACCAAATGACGTACTGGTGAAGGGTCTCGGATTCCCTCCGTCTGAGCGTTAGCAATGATCCAACGTCTTTAGGCCGCTTACTCCCCGTAATGAATCGAGCCAAGAACTGCCTCGTTAATTTCTTCCACGATCCAATGCTGTTGGGGGGAAGCGCCTCGAACCACTTCATCGCAGAGTCCCCCAAGCTCATAGGAAACACTCGGCAGAGGAACCGTTGATCTGAATGATATAGGGACATCATTTGCTTGTATTGCCTGAGGTGGGCTTCGGGATCGAACCACCCGTCATAAGTTTTGAACCTTGGCACGACGAACTTTTTTGGAACCTCCATCTCTCCGATATCCCTGGTAAAGGGTGTTTGTATGACCTCGTCTTCGACCTCATCCTGGACAGCCTTACTCTTTCTCATAGATTTCAACCGGACTTTGAAATCAATTTCCTCCCCAACGGGATGTCTTCGAGTTCATCAATAGGTCTCCCATTTTATGGGTGTCATGTGGATAGGGTTGAATCCTCTTTGGACTCATCTCCCTTCTTTCGTCTCGACAATCTTCGCCGGAGGTCGTCTAGGGCTAAAGGTCTTGCCTTCCTGGAATGGTCGTTAAGAGGGTGCTCGTTGGCTCTTGGTCGCTTTGGGGCCCTGGAGCTTTCTGCTTTGTTATTTAAATGATTCCTCAGATCCTTTGTTTCCGCCTCCCGGGCGGGGAGCCCACGAGAAAGGAATGAGTCCCTCGACCCTTCGTCGGAGGCGGCGAATTCATTGAGCAGGCTTAGGACGTTCACATTGTCCTTTTCCAACTATTGTAATCGATCCCCAAACTTTTCTTCGATCACCTTTGCCAGTTGACAAGCCAAGGGGGCGGATCCTCCTGACTTGATGCCCATACTGGTTTGAGGAGTAAGCCCTCTTGACTGAATAGAGGCATTTCTATTCCCATCAGTGTGATCCCTCTCTCCATGGTGACATGGAGCTTGTAATTCAAGACTTCTTTGCTGGAGACCTTTCCCTTTTTGTCGTGTATTCACCATGGTCACTGTTCTTTATAGAGAAAAAATTAGAAAAACTAATCGCTTCCCACAGACGGCGCCAGATTGTGCGTGCTGGATCTTGCACAATATAAACACGAGAACAGATCTCTCCCTTGGTGAACTCGAGTGAGTCAGTCGAGTGGTCAACCCTACTGCTTGGAACAGTCTGTGAGGTCCGGTGGTAATCTGAAACGATAATGGGAGACCTTCGTGGATCAACAGAATGATCCAGTAAGGTTGATGAAGGTTCCTGGAATAAAGAAAGACAAGTTAGAAGGGCGCCAGAGTGTTTTCTGGCTTATCCCCTCCGACGATCAAGTCAATTTTTGAGAGAGAGGAAGAAGAAAACACTGAGTATAAATTTGAGAAAAGGTTTCACTTTGTTTTTTTCTCTCTCTTGCCTTTTGTGAGGAGTATTTATACCTCAAATACTCATGATCACTGTCAGTGTGGTCAGTAGGTGATAATTAGATAAGGGCAACGTGCGCACTGATTCTTATGAGGAATGTCTTATCTTTTAACTGCTCAGGATCCCGAGCAATCAAGGCTGTATCATCGGCCTGCCGACTGTTTAATGAGCTCCTCTCGGCAAGGATATAATAAATGCCAAGCCTTAGAGACATTTATTACCTTTCACTTTCGAGCCTTACCGCATTAAATACTGTCTCATCAAGGAAATGATGTAATTAAATGCTTGTTTTCCCAAGTTGTGTGCCAGCAAGGGCATCCGGTCTTTTTGTCTCTGATGTGACACAATATGGCACGCGTCCATTCCCCATTGGCTATGTCCTCTGCCTTCTTGTGCCTTCTGATACCAATTGTGTAAGACGAGGTCATGATGGCTAACCTAACTTAGCCTAGGCTAGTGACCTGCACATCAATAGCCTTTGCAGGAGTAGAGAACGCCATCTTGGACGGGGTACATCTCGGTACCGAGGGGGATTGGTACATGTAGGGACCGATGTACCTATACGACCCCGAGGGATACGTGTCGGTATGTAACGTACTAGGTGTCATTGATCTCTATGAACAGTACCTCGGAGGAACAGAGACTTGTAATCCGACGGATACGTGTCGTGTTTATAGGAAAAAAATTTACTGATTCCGAGGACACGTGTCTTCATCTTGGAGTACTTGAAAATGTCCCATCAATTCCTAAGAGTGTCGATTCGCCGGGTTCCTCAGAAGATTCAAAACCTCTGTTAGAATACGATTTTTTGACTCATCCCAAGTGTTTTTGAAAATTTTTTTTAAATAAGAGTTGGTTTGAAAATAATTCTTACACTCAATTTTTTTTAAAATATCAATTAACCTGACATTTTTAGAATTAAAATATTAATTGACCTGACTTGTTCTTGTCTAAAAAAGTCAGATTAACCGACATTTTTAAGCTTCGACAGTCACATTCCAGGACATTTCAATTAAAAACGCCTGACGTTTTTAACCTGCACCCCAATTTTTCCCTCCTCTATTCTTTCCTTTCTCTTATTTTCTCTTCTTCCCCCCCATTTGAGCTCTAACGTTTTCAGGCGAGAGACTCACCATCTACACCCCCCCCCCCATCGCAGCACCACCCATATTTTCTCTTCTTACCCCCATTTGAGCTCTAACGTTTTCAGGCGAGAGACTTACCATCTGCACTCCCCCCATCGCAGCACCACCCAACCATCGAAGCCCCAAATCCCAGCACCACCACCACTATCGAAGCCCGCCCCATCACCACCCAGCACTACCTACCATCTGAAAGGCCCACCCCAGCACCACTATCACCACCACCAGTCCCAGGCCCATCCCCAGCACCAAAATCCCCCAATCTGCACCACTGTTCCTCCATTGCACCTTTGACAGCGCCTCCACCACATCCGGTGAGAACTCTTTGTTTATTGAATGAAAAATATTGAAATTATGTGAAATGATTGAAATATAGAAATTCTATAAACTGACGTTTTTAGTTGAACCAAATCCAATTTATTTCCCTCTTCTTTCCTTCTCCATTATTTCCTTCTTCCCCCAAAATCTCTGTGCCCTAACTTCATTTAGGCGACCCAGCAGCGACCACCACCACCCCTACACCTCTTTCAGGCGAACCACCTCCTTCAGGCGAGAAAGGTTAGGTTTTTCTTTTTAACTCTTGTATTGGTTATTAAACTTGCTGTGAAGTTTAAGAATTCTTTAGTTTTCATGTTTATTTAGAAAAATTAGTTGTTTACTTAATTTACAAATTGATTGTTTTAATTTCTAGTTGTGATTCAGATTTTGAGCATTTTATAATGTAGAACTGATCTATTGAATGGAAAATGTGGCTGTTTTGTTACTTTTTTTGGAAAATGGGAGACTTGAAGAGTGTTCAGTGCCTAATTTTCTGAAAAAAAATTGGCTAAGGAAAAGAAATTAGATTAGCAGGGCTAATACTTTAAACGAAATTGGGCTAAATGATAGTTGCTGGTCATATGCAAGAAGCGAATATCCACTTATGGGTTGGCTGCTGAAAGTGTGGTGGGAGAAGTAAATCCAAGTTTTGCTGCACCCTCCGAAGTTACCCATGAATCTCCCCTGAACTATTTTTTCTTTGATAGGTCTTTCCTTAAAAAATAATTACTTGTGTGATGCATCTGCCTTTGTGTTTCTAAAATATTGCGAATTCTAAGATTACTACTTGATATTTCTTTCATGTGGAGATTTTTTGGTGGTTTTTTGTGTGTGGGTTCCATGTTCTATGTAATTAAGGAAAGCACAGACCTCCATATGTACTTGATATGATAGCGTGGGAATGGAATGACTGTTTGTATGTTCATTGAGGTCAGTCAATTTTTAGCTCACACTCGAATACATGGGCCCACGACTGTATTCTGCTTTGGGTATGGAGTAGAAGTTTGTATGTTCATAAAGCGTGGCTGATTTGGCCTTCTGTTGTAAATGACTCCATCCATGAAGAGTAAGCTTTCTGCTCTGGGTGTAGAGTGGATGACTATTTAGCATTGGGAGTGGGCAAACATTGGCACTTGTTGTAAGTGCCTGAGCCCAGGACTAATAAGCATTCTGCTTTGGGCATTTAGTGGAGCATTTTATAGAGTCCTCAAACACTAGCACTTGGTTGTGAATGCTTTAGTCCAAAGCTAATAAGCAACATGATGATTAATTGTTAAGCAATCATACTTCTGTATGGACAAAGGAAGCATTATGCTGTCTTGGCATGTCTGATTTTTTTGTTCACTTGTGCCATTTTGTGTGGTGTGCCTGAATCTGATGGGGGCAAATTTTTTCTTTCATGAGACATCGAGGGGCCCTTCTTGGAGTAAATCACTTGGCATACAATATGACAATTATAAGGATGCATAAAATCTGTGTTTTCAAAGAATATGACAATCAAGGTTTATCTATTATTGATAATTCTAGTGTCCTGATTGCAGTATATTTTGCATGGATATTGAGTGAATATTGAAATTGTTTTTGAGTTTCAAACTGGCCACTTTTCTTTTTCGTGGTCGGGGTTTTTGTTTTGAGAATAATGAGTTGAGTTTCTGTGGGGCATTCAGGAGTTTTGCCTCACAAGATGATTTATGGAGCTGAACTGAATGTCAATATTACTATTGTTAGAAGTCTCATCTCATGTGTTGCTTCTGCCCTTTGGTTTTTTCAATTAGCAGCCAAACAAAACATATGATACACGCCTTTTTGATAGTCCGCTAGAGATTATTTTACATCTCTATGTCCCTCCCCCTCTATGCCACTTCTGTTTTGGAAGAACAAGTTGGTTTGTAAATTGTTCAACGAATTGCCAGTGCGGAACAAATTTAAAACATGAAGTTTCTGTTAGATTTATTTCAGCTTGATGATGAGTGCTCGGTGATATTCATGAGTTAATTCCATGTTGCTTAAACTTAAATCAGTAATTTATTTTGTTATATTTGTTTGTGGCAGGTGTGGAAGGTACAAGACAATTGTGTTATTGAATTCATGCGACAATTGTGTATATACAACATGGATCCTTCTTGCTACTTTTAAGTATGCTAACGAAGCGAATTTGTATTTCGGTCTTTACGCGCCTCACTCACCCAAATTCTTCATATTTGATTCTTCAGTATTCAACGTCCTCTGCTCAAACCCTCTCAAAATCCGACCGGCAAACTACAAAATTACTTGTTTACTGCAACTCACAGATAACCAAAAATGGCCGAAACGGCAATATCAAAGAAGCCGTGTCGATTTTCAATCGCATGCCAACCAAAAATGTTATCTCTTGGACCGCAATGCTCACTGCATATGCTGAGAATGGGCAAATTCAGATGGCCCGTAAAGTATTCGATGAAATACCCCAAAAAAGTGTCGCATCGTGGAACGCTATGATCACTGCTTATATAAAAAACAGAGTTGGGATTGATGATGTTTTTGATTTATTTTTGAAAATGCCGATACGAAATGAGGTGTCTTATGCTGCAATGGTTACAGGTTTTGTTAATATAGGAATGTTTGATAAGGCTGAAGAACTGTATGCTGAGATGCCTAGGAATTGGCGTAATCCTGTTTGTTCAAATGCTTTAATAAATGGGTATTTGAAGATGGGGAAATTGGATCAGGCGGTTAGGGTTTTTGAGGGCATGGTGGAGAAAGATGTGGTTTCTTGGAGCTCAATGGTTGATGGGTACTGTAGAAATGGAAGACTTGGTGAAGCTAGAGTGTTATTTGATAGGATGGAAGAGAAAAACGTGGTTACTTGGACTGCTATGATTAATGGCTATGTGAAAATGGGGTGTTTCGAAGATGGGTTTGGATTGTTTGTGCAGATGAGACGGGAAGATGTTGTAAAGGTTGTCTCGAATACACTGACCGTAGTTTTTGAAGCTTGTGGAAGACTCGGTAGATATGAAGAAGGGTGTCAAGTGCATGGTTTGGTTTTGCGTATGGGATTTGAGTTTGATTTTTTCTTAGGCAATTCTGTTCTTAGTATGTATTGTAAGTTTGGTTGTATAGATGCGGCTAATAATGTATTTTGCACGATGAAGGAGAGAGATGTGGTTTCTTGGAATTCTCTAATTGTTGGTTATGTTCAGGCGGAAGAAATTGAAGAGGCTTATAAACTTTTCAAGGAAGTACCAGATAAAGATGTAGTTTCTTGGACGACCATGATTACTGGGTTTTCTAGTAGAGGGATGACTGGGAAATCCATTGAGTTGTTTAAAATGATGCCAGAGAAAGATGATGTTGCTTGGACTGCTCTTATTTCAGGGTTTGTGAACAATGGAGAATATGAGGAGGCTATCTGTTGGTTCATTGATATGCTTCAGCAAGCGGTCAGACCAAACCCTCTTACCCTAAGTAGTGTGCTCAGTGCTTCAGCTGGTTTGGCTACATTAAACCAAGGCTTGCAAGTACATGCTCATGTTGTGAAAATGGATATGGAACTAGATTTGTCCGTCCTAAATTCACTGATCTCGATGTATTCTAAGTGTGGAAGTGTAAATGATGCCTATAAGACCTTCCAAACCATCCCTTCCCCAAATATTGTTTCTTTTAACTCGATAATTACTGGATTTGCCCAAAATGGGCATGGGAAAGAAGCACTTAATTTTTTTAAGAAAATGCTAGACGAATGCCTGGAACCCAACGAGATTACCTTTCTAGGCGTTCTTTCAACCTGTACTCATATGGGAATGGTAGAAGAAGGATGGAAGTACTTCAAATCCATGAGATACTCATATAAGATTGAACCAGGGCTTGATCACTATGCATGCATGGTTGATCTCCTCGGGAGGGCTGGTTTGCTGGATGAAGCAATTAATTTTATCACTTCAATGCCATTGGAGCCCCATTCTGGGGTTTGGGGTGCTCTTCTTGGTGCAAGCAGGAACCATGTGCAGCTTGACCTTGCTAAACTTGCAGCTCAACATCTTTCTGAATTGGAGCCCCACAATGCGGCCCCTTATGTAGTTTTGTCTGACCTGTACTCTATTTCAGGGAACATGAAGGATGAGGAACAAGTTAGAATAGCTAAGAAATTGAAAGGGATAAAGAAAAGTCCAGGTTGTAGTTGGATTATGGTGCAGGACAAGGTTAACTTGTTCCTTTCAGGAGACCGATCTCATGTAAAGTTTGAAGAGATCAAAAGCACATTATGGACAATTTTGGATGAAATGAGACGGTAAGATTATTGTAGATTTTAAACAAAATGGATGTTTTCTTCGATACTCTATTTTGGCAAACATAAATGGAAGCCAACCATGTACTGGATCAGAAGCAAATACCAAAAAGGTTGTTGGGACATAGTAAGTGAATTGATCTGTGTTTTAGTTTTTGGTGAAGTTTACTTAATGATCAATCTGCTCTCTGACCTTTATTGTATGGTTTCAGCGGTTACATGGCTCTAGAGTATGCCATGGAGGGCATTTTCTCAATCAAATCTGATGTCTGCAGTTTTGGAGTTTTGATGCTTGAAATCCTGAGTGGTCGGAAGAACAGTAGCTTCTACCATGTTGATCGCCCGCTCAATCTAGTGGGATATGTAAGTAATATAACACTCACTTCAATTTTGCTTCTCTCTATAGTTACAATTACATGACAAGTTAACACAAATTGAACGAGACAAAAATGAATTGAGTTTGGGATTTTGAAGTGTGAACAGGTTGACACAATTAACATGTTTATTAAACAGGTTGCATCAGGGTTTTTAACTGACCACGTTGAACATGTTTATGACACAAGCACAAGGATAGTTCATAACTGGAATATGATCTACCACATGAATATAGATCATGGAGTCTGTCTTACCTTTGTTTTTTAATTACATATCAAATTTTGTTTATGTATTCTTCACGTAATAGTATGATCTGTTCAAGCCATTTATCCCATAGAACTGCCCTACGCAGACATGTTATTTATTATATGACTTATATACATTGATTGTGTTACTTCAGCTGCATAACAGTTGACAAACATAAACCATTTTGAGACTACTCGATTGCCACCCCTAAAAACGTGCTTTCCAACATTCTAACTGGGCAATTCTTTCTGCTGCAGGCATGGGAGCTATGGCAGAAAGATGCTGCACTGGAGCTGATGGATCCAATGCTAAGTGGTTTATGTATCACAGAGCAACTGAGAATTAGATGTATTCACATAGGCCTTCTATGTGTAGAAGATCGCGCACTTGATTGGCCTGCCATGCCAGATGTTATTTCCATGTTAACAAATGACAGTATGACACTGCCAATGCCAAGAAAACCGGGATTTTTGCAAGCAATGCGGTTGAAGAAGATTTACCTGGAAATGATCAGCCAGAGAAATATTCAGTGAATGGGCTCTCCATTTCTGCAATGGATGGAAGATAGGGGTATGGCGTTTTGTTACTTCGTTTAGAAAGCTAATTGTAGTAAAGCTTTTATGGATCAGATAAATCACATATGCACATAAACATGAATCTCCTTGTCGGGTAGCGGTATGTTTAAGCGGTGAAAGTCAAGTTCTAGCGCACGACGAAATCCTATCTTTCGGGCTAAGTTAGTTACGGATATCTTTCCTGTTTAAATAGTGCAAGCGGATCATAGTGATAAAAAAAAATGTGGATTACCACAGGTTACCGGTTATGTCACTGAGAGAGTTTGTTAGTGTGTTTGTGCCATTAGTTCTTGGGGACTACAGGTGATGTCACTTTCACCACAAAAATCCACTTTACTCTGAGTAGTTTATTTTTCGCATGTTTATCAAGTTTGGCTTTAAATAAGCAATCATGGACTCCTCCTAATTGATCAAATATGATTTTGAATCTTCTCCAATATGTTTTGTCTCAATTTTCGTACATGATTTATCTAAAAATCAAGTACGACCCATTGTATTGAAGTGGGTCTACTAATAAACGGTTGGTGATTAATGTGAAATTTACATAAAGTCTCTTTAAAGAGATCAGGAAGATGAGGTTATTCTACTTTGTAAACAATGTTTATTTCGTACTTGACTTACGAGCTTGCATAGTACTGGCTCCTATCTCTAAAGAGATTTATTCACTCTACTCGTTGTCTTCTAAACGAGCATTAAAGTGAACGAGTAAAGCCTTCCATTTAGTGGCTTCTCCCCTTTACGCTAACCCTACTCTTTCATTTTTGCTTAAGCTTCTTTGGTTTGGAGATAAATTGATTAGATACTTGAAAACTATAATCTTTTCCATGAATAGCTAGTTCGAAAAAGATTTGGCCATTCAATCTTGTCAACTAATTGACATCAAAATTGGAAAAAGAGATACGAATGAAAGAAATATCTAATCGATGAAAGAAATGAAACCATTCTTTTTCAATAGAGGTATGGGAAATAATTGGGGGCAATGAAGTAAGTGAAATTATTGGATTTTGCGAGTTGTTCCAACCACGGTTGAATGTGATTTTAAGAGACGAACGAGAATGAATACCACATAGAAGAGCCAACACCAAATCCCATGAAGTATACTATGTGCCAGTAATTTCCAAGTAGCACTAACCATTGACAAAAAAATAGGTATATTGAAGAACTTTTCGAGGGTCTTGGTTGAGAATCTAAGACTCTCATAGATGGTAGAACATAGAGAATATTGTTTGATGTTTAGAAAATTAGCAATTTTGTTTGAAGATGGGGGTGAGAATGTTTTCCACTTTAATATTTTTTTTTTTACCCGCAACAATATATAATTATTTCAATCAATCACCAATGACTATAACAAGAACAATTCTTTTATAGTCAAGAAAAAAATACTCATCAATGAGTAAAGAAAACTCCGAAAAAGAATAACAATTGAACCCTCAAAGAAAGGGATATAAGAAATCAAGTTTTACTTGAGACTAAGATTGATCACTTCATATTTAATGATAAAATTTTAAAAGAATCAATAATAATCATCCAATTAAAGAACAAATTTGAAACACTGATCGATCAACCTCTCCATATATTAGATTACACGTGCATGTTTATGGCTAAAAAGTCACCAAATGTTCATAATTAAGGAGCGAAAAAAAAGAAGTGGAATCGCTCAAACCAATGATCAAAATTTTGTTTCGGTCTATTGTTTCAGTCACTTAGAAAACGAAAAAGTTTCGATGTGTTTTGGAAATATTTCGATGTGTTTTGGAAAATAAATTGAAAAAATAAAAAATTTAAGAATTATTTTTTTAAAATATTGGTCGAAATATACCAAAATATCTTGAAACATTCAGAAATAAATGTGCAAATATATCAAAATATAACAAAATATTTCGAAACATTATGAAATACCTCGAAGTATTAGAATTTCGATTTCATCAATGATTCATTTTGATTTCCTTAAAAATAAAAATATTTTAGATGCTTTGACGATTTTGAAACAATACTTTATTCCCCGCCTGGAACAACTTTGTTGAATTCTTACAAATTACAATCATATTCTTTTCTTCCTCCACATGGTTAGTATTATTCCATTCCAAGTACCCCACAATTTTTTAAATTCTTTTTTTACTATTTTTTTATGATTTAAAAATTTTTAAGGTTAAAAGTTATAGATTATTGGTCCCTCCACAAATTTTCCTTTTTCACACTATAAGTTTTATGTCAAAATTGGAGTTTTATTTCTCATATTCACCCCTTATCGCATGGTTTCTCTTTTAATATAGATGTATTAGCAATAACCCCATGTTTGAATATATTTTTTAACATCCAAAATTAAACATTAATCGTACAATATTTAAAATCTATTTTTATTTTTTTCCTTTAATTATGTAATTTAAAATTAAATGAACAAAAAATAAAATAAGACAAAGGTAAGGGAGAAAAAAAAAAGTATACGTGTGAATTGATGAGATCGTCCAACATTGGGAGTCATGCAATGAAAATAATGTTTTTGAGTATAAAAAGAGTGGGATGAATTTTATGTCATTAAATCAAAATAGATGAAAATTGAATTAATTTGGATCATTGTTAGATTTTTATAAATTAAAAATTCAATTTTTAATTAAAATATTAAATAAATTTATTTTTATGATCATAGAAATCCGTCACTAACTTTTTTATTTTTCGGCCTATAGATGCATTGTAGGTCATTGCCCATAGGCCCAAAAAAAAAAAAAATCAATCAAAAATTGTTATTTAAACTTAAAGTATAAAATTAAAATATGTATTAGATAATCACAATCATTAAATCAATAGTGAGTTTTAAATTTATTTTTTAACTCTACGTAGCATTGTTTATAAATCAAAGCAATTAATTACTGTTAACTTAATTAATTATTATCATTGATTTCATTGTAAGTTTCAGTATTTATTAAATTTAATTATTTATTCGATGATTATAATTAATCACGACAGAAAATCAAATTAATATTTTAAGTATAAGTAACATTTTCATAAATCAAATTAAAAAAATCAATCACCAAACAGAACAACCCATCACCAAAAAATTGGAAAAGTAAAAAAAAAAGAAGCCAAACAGACACTGTGAACACTACTATTGAGTAATTAAGCACTAATCAAGGGAATAATCCAATTTCACGACAATTAATTAGCGATTTTGTCATTATTGCAACCGACTTTATTTATATGGATGTTTGAACTTAGATTGCAACCGACTTTCCGCCGCGAGAAAAAGCTGAGAAATCTGAAAAAACGAGGGAGAGACCCTGTTCTCTGTCTCTCTTTCTCTCTCCCTCCCTCCCTCCCTCCCTCGCACACAGACCCAAACACCACTTCGGTGCAGCAAATTGTTCTGTTAGTTACGAAAGATCCAACCAAATAGAGAATCCACCAACACATCAGAAACCCCTGTTTCTTGCCCACCTAACACACACACTCTCTCTCTCTCTCTCTCTCTCGCACACACACACACACACACACCACAAGCCATTGCATTCCCATTTAGCCACTTTTCTCACAGAGAAAGCAAAACAATATTCTTTCATTCCTTCCTTCCTTTTCTTTCCTTTGCTCCACCAACTTTCTTCCATTTAACTCCATCTTTGTATTCTCTCTCAACTATGTTCTGCAATGGCTACTCTTGGGGATATTGGGGTCTCAGCATTGATCAACATAATTGGTGCTTTTGCATTCTTGCTAGCTTTTGCTCTTCTACGAATCCAACCCATCAATGACAGGGTTTACTTTCGCAAGTGGTACATCAATGGGGCTAGAACTAGTCCCAGACACACTGGGAACTTTGTGGGGAGGTTTGTCAATCTCAATATCAGGACTTACCTTACTTTCCTCAACTGGATGCCTCAAGCTATGAAGATGAGTGAGACAGAGATTATCAATCATGCTGGCCTTGATTCTGCTGTTTTCTTAAGGATTTACACTCTTGGGTACTCGAAACTTTCTCCTTTCTTTGTTTTTTTTTCTTTTTTCTGTTAAATAAATGGTTTTGGGTGCTTTTAAAATTTCAGAAGTTGGACTTCTGAACTTGATTTTCTGTTTCATGAACAATTTGCCTTCTGGGCTGGTCGACTTTTGAATTCTTTTAGTGTTGTTGTTAGTTGAGAAAATGTTGGTTCCTAGAATTTTGGGCTAGTCAGTTATTCAATTGGGATTGGAGAAGTTTCGAATTTTTGTTTATTTTTCTGATCAATTTCTATGAAATTAGTTTGTGGAGTTTTTGTTTTTCCTCTCTTTTGCATCCCAAATTTAGTTGATTAAGGTTAAGTTGAGATTTTTTTTTGTTTTTTTGCTTTTTAGAGGCTAAGGTGAGTTAGATTAAAAGGATTATGCATAATAATGCAATACACATTCAGGCATGTTGTTATCACTGTTGGAAAATGACATGCATACATGTCAAGTTTGTATAATATTTGGGAATGGTAGTGTTTTGCATTATGGTGCTTTCCTTTCAATTTCTCTTCTTTAAATCTTTTTATTGATTTTATTCTTGACTCTTGCCAACACTTTTTGGTTGATTTTAAATTCCAAATTGTTGCCGCAGTTAAAAATATTTTGAATTTAGCTGTTTCTTCATTCTCATGATGGTTCACCCTTGAAATCTTGATCTACCAGGTTACGACCCCATAAGCAAGAAGTTACTGCTTTTTGTTGCAAATTAATTTGTAACCGAAAAGTTATGCATGACTACTATGATTTTGGTTATGCTCTAAACCTGTGTTTGGCAACTTTGAATTGGGCATTGGAACTGGAATTTCAAAAGAACCAATGCAAATGTTGTGCTAATTTGCTCTAATGCCAATTTGACGATCCCAGTTTCAAGTTGCCAAACTCAGCATCACAAAATTCATAATATTTTAGGATCAGTGGGTGCCTCGGGCCTAAGCCCAAGACGCATGAGGTGTGATCATTGTTTCCCCTTCGGTGATCTTTTGGGCCATTGGATCCATTGACTTGGATGAAATATCTGATAACAATATGCGCTTATTTAAGCTTTGGTACAAATTCCTTATATGCATATTCTATTTCTTATATTTCTGTCATTTTCTTTCTTTTTTGTCTGTTTCTCCAGCCTTCTTCATTTCTTTTAGATTTTCTATCTTTCTCTTGTATGTTATCTGTCTTATGTCCTCTCAATGTTATTTCCCCCATGATAATATAAACTGTAAATGATAGTATGTGTGCCTTCATATGGTTGAGAAGAGTTATTAGCTCTATTTAATTGCTAGACTGTAGAGAATAGAGACTAAAACTACTTAATTACTGTATCTGGTAAACTGTGAATTAAAAATATATACTTGTTATTTACAAAATGGCCCTCGCTTTGATGAAGCTTGGTTACTTTATC